GGTTTTAGGGCTTAGGATTTAGGGCTTAGGGCTTAGGGCTTAGGATTCAGGGTTTAGGGCTTAGGGTTTAGGGTTTAGGTTTTAGGGCTTAGGATTTAGCGCTTAGGGCTTAGGGCTTAGGGTTTAGGGTTTAGGGTTTAGGGCTTAGGTTTTAGGGTTTAGGTTTTAGGGTTTAGGGCTTAGGGTTGAGGGCCTATAGACCCCCTATAGCGCCCTAAAAAAATCCTGTTCAAGCACCGTACGGTCCGACGAAGCCTAGCCTGAGCCTGAAATGCTCAGACGTGTGCATCGAATGCCCATGGAAGGGTACAGGTCAGAAGGTTTGATATATAGAAGCCTACATAACTTAGGGTTTAGGGTTTAGGGTTGAGGGTTTAGAGTCAAAATCATATTCTAGCTATTGAGGCCCTTATATTAAGTTGCAGGTCGCGCTTGGCATGAGTGCCGGAGCGGGTCCTCGAAGAAAACCGCATCGAGGATTGGCAACGGCTGCTTGTGCTGGCCTGCCATTGCGGGTCCCTCAACGCTCAGGGTTTAGGGTTTGGGGCTTATGCTAAACCCTTCTTCAGGGATCCGGGTCGCTGTAGGCAGGGTTACAAGTACCTCTTCTTGCAGGAGATAGACGTATAAGCAGGCACAACTTTTCCGCACTGTCTCCCGAGATCCTTCAAAAACCTGAAGATCTAAAAAACCTACCAAAAACCTGAAGATCTAAAACACCTACCAAAAACCCTGAAGATCTAAAACACCTACCTTCGTGAATCCTGCACCGGACTTCCGAGAAATCCGAGACCCACAATCTAGACCCCCGACGGATGACAACCCCGTACCTGAAAAAGTGCTGTTTAGGGTTTAGGCTTTAGACTAAGGCCATTAAAGCCCAAACTCTGCAAGACCCCTAAGCCCTAAGCCCTAAACCATGTTCTTCAACCTCACTCCAGGCCCCAAGAAGATCCCTCCGAGCTTGGTAGTTCCCTTGACATCGGCGCCTGAAATCCTAAAACCAAAATTACCTCTACACCCCAACATCCTTCCCGGCCCAGGAGGCCCAAAAGCCCTGCAGAAAGCCACTCTAAACCCTATCAAAAAACCTAAACCCCTAAAGCCCTAAAGCCCTAAAGCCTTAAAACCCTAAACCCTAAACCCTAAACCCTCAAGCCCCTAAACCCTAAACCCCAAAACCCCAAAGCTCCAAAATTTCAGCCCAAGGGGCCCAAGAGACGCCGCGTCCCGGCATCGTAGAGGCGCACGGTTCCTCGGCAAAAAGCGGCTTCCGAACCTTCCACCCTTAGGGTTTAGGGTTTAGGGTTTAGGGTTTAGGGTTTAGGGTTCCTGATGTAGGAACCTGATTAAGAAACCCTGGGCCTTTATGAAGGCTCTTAATATGAACCCTAATATATTCCGAACCCTACACCTTAGAGAGGTCCCTAAACCCTACATTGAAGGAAACTACAAGTGGGGAGTTTAGGGTATATAGCTCTTCTACAAGGCTTCTATAAGTACACCTTAGAGAGGTTAGGGTTTAGGGTTTAGGGCCCTAAATAAACCCTAAGCCCTGGAGATCCCAGATCCCTAAACTTTGGGGGTTGGGGTTTAGGGTTTAGGGTTTAGGGTTTAGGGTTTAGGGTTTAGGGTTTAGGGTTTAGGGTTTAGGGTTTAGGGTTTAGGGCAATGGACTGCCTTGCGGCTGTTCAGGGAGAACTTGAAGCGCGCCCGAAGCCCGCAGATGACATCCTTGCCGAAAGCCGGCGGGTCCGCGGTAAGTGCCCGCAGCGCTGTAGGATGCCTGGCCTTCATCTGCCACTTCGGCAGCATCTCACCCACAAGCGTGAAATGAAGCCGCGGCTTGGCCGCAAGCGCTTTTATGCGCTCGCACTCCCGCCAGGATATGGTCGCGGTGCACCGTTTGAAAGTAAGGACAGATCATCCTCACGTATTGCTGGTCAAAGTGCCGCAGCTTCAGATGCAGGAAGACATCTGCCAGCATGCAGACTGCATTCGGCTCACCAATCAGGAACTTTGACTTTGTGCAGGCGTGCTTAGGGTTTAGGGGTTTAGGGTTTAGGGGTGCTCAGGGCTTAGGGATTTAGGGTGTATAAGTGCTTAGGGTTTAGGATTTAGGGGTTTAGGGGTGTAGGGTTTAAGGCAGTTTAGGGTTTAAGGTTTGAGGTTTGAAGTTAAATACGCTCAGGACATGTACGAAAGCTTTTTAAGGGCTGATTGTGCTGCTAAATATATGTTGCCACCCGCGCTCACATCCTGACTCTGGTTGCTGTTTCACTGCGTTTTTGAATAGGAATAGGAGTACGAGTAGGAGGAGTACGCGCAGCAGCAGCCTCAATACGAATAAGCAGTAAGAACAACATGAATAGCAGTTTTACCAAAAGTGATAATGAGAGTTGTTATAAGCATAGTAGTAGCAACTAAACAAGAAAGTAATAGAGCTGGGCACGGCAATCCCTGGATGTTTTGCGCCCCTAGTCCTTCGCTAGCTTACAGCAGTCCTGCCGAACTATTGCGTTATTACTCCTGCGCTTCCGCTATTGCTGAGCTTCACTTTAGTCCCTTTATAATCCCTAAACCCCTTATGGCTTAGGGTTCACGCTTTCGGCATGGAGTTTTGAAGCCTGAGGTTTCAACAAACTGGGCTTGGGGGCTCGGGGAGGTTACGGGCAGTTCAGGGTTTAGGGCGACGGCCCTGGAGCGCTGAGGGTCTGGAGTTTAGGGTTGAGGGGTGAGGCTTTAGGCTTTATAGGGTTTAGGGTTTAGGGTTTGGGCTTTATAGGGTTCAGGGTTTAGGGTTTAGGCTTTGGGATTTATAGGCTTTAGGGAGGGCTCAGAGTTATCTTGAGTCTCAGCTTGCAAAGTTCGGGCTTCCTTCTATGTACCGTCATGGTGCCCTAAACCCTAGGCCCTAAACTGTAAGCCTCTAAGCCGGAAGCCCTAAGCCCAAAGCCCTAAACCCAAATCCAAGTATCTTTCAGATGGCTTCGACTATTCTACTTGCTCCAACTTCCCACCTTGACGGATCCCCAAACAATAGAGGTTCAGGGTTTAGGGGTTTAGCGGTTTAGGCTTCAGGGTTTCGGAATTATGGCTTAGAGTTCAGGGATGTCGAGTTCTTACATAGTGCTTGGTGTTGCAGGTTCAGGCGGGCATCTCAGTAACAAGGGCTGCAATATAGTTGAGTAGGATTGAGCTTCAGCTACAGTCTGCATAACTTTCCATGTGAGCAACCCCAGAGCAATAGCAAGAAAAACTTTCGTGCATAACTTTCCATGTGAGTAACTCCAGAGCAAAAGCAAGCAAAACTGTCATGCTTCTTTGTTAGCCCTAAACCCCAAAAAAAACCCAAATGCATTTCCCAAAACCCTAAACCCTAAACCCTAACGTGCCGCCCCCCCCCTTGTGGTGAATCCCAGACACCATCCCAGGAGGCGGCAAGGAACTGACAGTTTCCTCCGGAAGCACTTAGGGTTTAGGGTTTAGGGGTTTAGGGGCGTAGGGTTTAGGGTTTAGGGGTTTAGGGTTTAGGGGTTTAGGGGTTTAGGGGTTTAGGGGTTAAGGGGTTTCGGGGTT